TGCATTCTTTGAGCCTCTCCAGATGAATGACAGTTACTCAGTAAGAACCGGACCATTGTAAACTGCCATGCGAGCTCAGGAACGATATTATAGGAAGTTAAGTTTCCATTGTCCTCAGCCCTACATATGATATGCTTGTCAGTTCTCTCCACCCTTCTCTGAGGAGAAATTCCCTTTAAGATGTAGATGAGGTAATATGTAATTTTCATACGCAAACCTGTACAACAAGAGATGATTTTGCTCCAGAGTCTTTTTTGCATACAGTCAGGATTTCCTGAGAATCTCAGGAGAGGCGTAAAGATTTAAAAACAGATTTTTTATGTTACCTTTTATACAAGTTGAAAAACTACCCTAATAAATGTGCTGATCACATAAATTAATTAATCACCAGCCCTGGGCACTTAGGCAGACAATGTACAATTATTAAAATTGGGCAATGATATGAGTTAAAAGATATGCTGAATAATGGTGCTGTATCTACAGTAGGGAAGATGCGTACAAATAATGAGGCAAGCATTGAAATTCCCTCATCCATAAGCTTTCTAAGGGGTTTGAGAATTGCTCAATATATTTGTCAGAAGCCAACATAGTGTCCATGTTTTTTTTACTTTTCAAGAACTCTGGATTGAAATAAATAGTACAGAAAAAAGGAAGGAAAGGGAAGGATTATTTATTCAAATGAGGTGACATGTTCCTGGCACTTATTTGTAGATTCAGGATGGAGATTCCAGACAGAATAAATGGATTTTAGGGCAGAAAGCAGTGAGTTATCTCAGTGTTTCTCAACCTCAGTAACTTTAAGCCATATGGACTTTAACTCTCAGAATTCTTGACTGTGGAATTCTGGGACTTTGGAAGTCACACAGCCTAAAGCAGCATTTTGAGTGAAAAAAGCAAACAGAATATCAGATTCTTACAGCCTCTAGCCTTAGCAAAGCACTTTTGTTCTGAAGAAAGATAAATATTCTTGATGGTTAAGATTATATCTGCACATCTGTTTAGCTCAGTGGCTCTCAATCTTTTCTTCATCATGGACCCCTTTAAATACATTTTGTGGCCACGGACCATGGCCATGGACCCCCAAGACTTAACTCAAGTTTTCATCAAGCCTTTATGGACCTGCTGTGAAGACATTGTGCCCCCTGCCCCCCAGGAGTCTGGGGACCACAGGCTGAGAACCACTGGTTTTTAAAACGAAATATCAAATTACATTGTTTTACTTCCCAACTTCTCTAGGCAGACATGTTCCAGGTTTTCTTGGAAATAGATCGAGGCCTATGTGATATTTTATTAGCATTCATTGGACAAGTTACAGGGTGATCATAAAAGAGACATACCCTGACATTCCAGTGTACTATTCAATTCAGTGATACACATCCAATATCCAGAGAATGGCTGGGCACAAAACATTTGTGGGATCTAAACCAAAGGTCTCTGTATCTACATCTTACTGGAAAATTGCAGCTTGTTGGCTTCTGGGAGAAGAAATGGTGAACTGAAGATGATTCTGGTAAAAGTGAAACCAATGACTGCAATGAAATGAAGAGATCAATTCCTCAAAATACCTCTCTGAAGAAGAAGAAGACTTGCGATCTCCCACAAGTAGTCCAGACTCCGGACAATTGCACCTTGGGAGAAGACCGCAAGCCAATGGTTTCCAGTGGATCTATTGTTTTGGGAGAATGCCATCTCCATCCAAACCACAGTCAAATCCTTGATGAACACTGGACTTGCATGCTTCCTTTCCAAATTACTTTTTAAAATTGCTTATTAAGCAGCTTATTGGCTATTAGAGCCTTTAAAAACAAAAAGGCTTTTTTTGCAGTACTAGATGAGTTTCTTTCAATCCTTAATGAAAGAAGTTTTAAATACGAGTTTAAACTTTAAAAAAATCATTTTTTGGAATAAACAAAAAAGATTAGAACCCTGATTTTAGAAAGTTAAAAATGGACTGAAGGTCTAGATGAATTTGAAACAACACTTTGAAATTAATTATAGAATCCTTCCCATAGAAAAATGCTGTTGTTTTGAATTCTTAAAAAAGAATGATAGGAAGGGACTATGAAGGGTGGACACCAAAGGAAATCAAAAGAATTAAGGATTACATTTAAAGGAGAAGTACTTAAATTTTATTTACTAATACAGAATGAAACAAAATACTAAGTTGGAAGATTTTGTGAACAATGGATCGAGTAGTTAATTTAAGACTATTTACCATTATAGGCAGACTGAGTTTCAAACATAATATGGAAGAGGAACAAGTATTACCAGACAAGATTGAAACTGATTTGAAATAATAGAAATAGGATAGAAGAATGATATGGAGAAAGATGTGACTACACAGGATATACAAATGAAACCGGCTGCTATTTTCATAATTAAATGGATATACAAATAAGAAACCAAAAGAGTGACTTGGATAACTTTCCCATCATCATAACAGAAACTTGATAAAGTTTTAAAGACTTTTAGAAAAAAAATGAAACAAAATCAAATTGTAGGACATTTCTTGAAAGGATTAAAAGCCTAGATTGTTGTAAGTATAAGTAAGGAATATAATGTTGGTTTATTTGATCCAGATTACAAGAGATATATTTTTATATCTGGTAATCTTTAATGGACTTTTGCTGAATAGACTGAATGATGAGATTGAAGGAGAGAAAATTTGTTGTAGTTTAAGAAATTGAGTATTGCAGGCTAATTCTGCCCACAGCCAGGAGTTCATTCCTGACCAGCTCAAGGTTATCTCAGCATTCCATCCTTCCCAGGTCAGCAAAATGAGGACCCAGATTGTTGGGGGCAATTTGCTGACATTGTAAACCTCTCAGAGAATGCTGTAAAGCAGCAGTCGCCAATTGGTGGGCCGTGAGAAAATTTTGGTGGGCTGCAGTGAAATCTCATCCCCAGAGCACCCCCCCAAGCAGTTAATTCAGGCTGCCCAGAAACACAAGGGTGCACCGCAGGAACCCTCCCCACCCACTCACTCCTTACCCGGCAAACTTGCCTGCTAAATTGCTATTTTTCTTTTTTCCGACCATCAGCTGTTCTGCTGTACTGGGAGATTTAGATTAGCTAGGAAGCAGGAAATGGTTGGATTTCTTGCTTTCTAGCTAGTCTTTAGATCTTCGGCTCTGCTTTTAAGCACAGCCGAACCTCCCTTAGGACTGAAGGTTTTATTATTCAGTGCAGATTCACGGCAAGCAAATTTGAGAGACTGAACTAGCCAATGGCAGATAGATAGATCATTGAATGATTCTGTGAGCAACTCAATCTGCCTGCCTGCTTTGCCGGATTTTGGGTAAAAGTTGCTCTTCTTTAAATAAAAAATTCAATATTTATATAAATATTTATAATATTTACATACAAGCCATGCCCAGCCAGTCACATGACCACCAAGCCACACCCACAAATTAGGCCACACCCAAAGAACAAGTTAGTGGTCTCTGGGATTTAAAATTATGAGTTTGGTGGCCGCTGAGGTCCAAAAGGTTGGCGACCCCTGCTGTAAAGCAATACAGAGCAGCATATAAGTCTAAGTGCTATTACTATTGCTATTTCTTTAATAAAATTACCATTTAAAAGAGGTAGCTTGTTCTATTTATTCTTTACAGAACTGTAGGAAGGTGAGAAGACATTCCCCCCTCCCTTCAGTAGCTTTGAAGAAGATTCTGCTTATTGCAGGATATTGGCAGAATTTCCCTTTGAAACCATTCCTTGTAGTTTTTTGGTTTTTGATTTGCTTCTGTGAGAATGTTTCTGGTTCTGGTACCTCTCTCCTTCCATCTTACCATTCTATATTAACTATAACTTTTCAGAAATACTTCAATAGAAATATGAGCAGATATGTCAGAGAAGCATAGTTTTCCCCACCCTTTATTGTAGGGAAAATTTAGATTTTGTTAGATTTCCCAATCTAATGAAATTAAGACTGCAACATTCAGGACCTCCAGTACAGCATGCTGGCTGTAGCATTTAGAGCAGTGGCCCCCAACCTTTTGGGCACCAGGGACCAATTCCATGGAGAGTTTTTTCTGTGGACCAGAGGGGGCATGGTTTCATGTGCTTCCTGCAGATGGGGGTTTGCTTGTTTGCTTGGACCGGTTTCTGGCATGCCATGGCCCAGTGCCAGTCCATGGACTGGGGGTTGAGGACCCCTGATTTAGAGTGTAACCCAAGACATCTGGTAAGCGCTTGATGGGGAAAACCATCTACGAATAAGTTATCTCCAGAACTCATTACCTTTTTAATGATAAATAAACTTTGGTTTATCACCTAGAAACCCAATGTCATATGAGAGTAAAGCATTTCCAGGTAACCAATCAAGGCATTTCTTGTGGGAATGTTATGTGGGAGTGATAGGATGAAGAGCCATAGCCAACAGATGAAAGGCAATTTCGCCTACAACAGGAATGTGGAGGGAACAAGTGGCTTACAAGAGACACTTCCTAGTTTCTCTACCTGTAGAGGAGATGGGTGGTGAGATAAGAGAGATGTGCAAGATGCTGTTAATGTAACCTTACAAGAAAGTAGGGTTACCTTATCTTGCCACATGCTCTGTTTCCTCACAAGTCGGTTTAGTGTGATTTACTTTTTTAAAATTATTAATCTTATTTGAGTTTGGGTTATATATAGTAGTTTCATCCTTCCAATTCACCAAAACACTGAATAAACTAGTAAAATGTCCATCTGAATAAACACAGCTTCAAAAGAACTCTGTGATATGTATAAAAGGACAAGACTGAATAAAATTTCCTTGGAGGAAACAAACGATGAATGCTAAAAGCATACTTCATAGAAATCTTCCTTTGATGTAATTCCTTTTGGAAAGATCTAAGCTTTGCAGAAGAGTGATAGAAAGGGAGGAAGGATTTAACATTGATGCTTTATGACGCTCCTGAACAATCGATGCTACATTAAAAGGACAGATGCTATTTTTATGGTGGTAGGATAAGTCAACCGAGCAAAATTAAAAGGCATTTATTTTTGTGTAATATAGCAGTATGAACTGTGTATGCTGCAAGAAAAAGGTAATTGATATATTCAAGAAACAATAATGGCAATGGACCAGGTATTAACTTGTTCTAAACATCTGCGGCATTTTTAATAGTCTGAGCTACTGTTTTCCAAAGAAATAATATAGATTTGTACAGGAGCTTTACTATCAAGGTGGAGTTGCTCCTTAGGCAGAAGATGTCAGGAGGCAAAAAGCAATGTAAATTATTGGAGGACAAATCTATGTGCTACGTGGCTGTCCATTATCCCTCTAAATTAACAGCCGGATGCAGCTGCAACCAAACATACTATAATGACATGTAATAACACATCCGTCTGTGCTTCAACTGTCTATTCTGATTAAGTGCTCTGTCTATGCCCCCTCTCGTCCTTCTGTATTATGCAGCAAACTTCCCTGACCCAATCCTTTCAATTCTAGCTGCAAAAGACAAAGCATGTTTGCTTTACCCACAGTCTCTCCACGTGTATTCGAAGATGCTTTAAATTTGGGTATGGCAGCTGCGTGTTTAAAGCAGGCTTCCCAACATTTCTTCCACTATTTGGAAGTATTTATTCACACACTATTCCAGGAGTGAGTGGAAGGATGAGAAAAACGGGATAAGGACCAAGAATCCAGGGCAGCTTCCTTGCTCAGGCATTGGCATAGCTTAAGTAACAAATACATACCAAATGCATCAAACCTTTGGAGAGAATCTGGATATAGATTAAGTAATCTTCCTTCAACAACAATTTTCCTTGAAGCAGCCTAGTTGAAGGTGTAGATAGAAGAAATATTCCCTGCCTTAAAAAACTGGGTTTTCCCTCAGGCATTGGGTTAAATGGATGACTTGAGTTGGTGGGAGATATGGATAGATGGCTTGCTTATTTATTTATCTATTTATTTATTTATTCATTCATTCATTCACTCATTCATTCATTTAATTTATTAGATTTTTATCCAACTTTATTACTTTTAAGAATAATTCAAGGCAGCAAATATACCTAATGCTCTTTTATCCTGCTATTTTCTCTATATCCACATCCCTGTGAGATGGTTTGGGTTGAGAGAGAGTGACTGGCTGAAGGTCACCCAGCTAGCTTCCATGCCTGCCATACTGTTATTCTTTTAATTTTGTGTAGCTACCCAGAGTTGGGCAACCTAGAAATTCAAATAATTTATATAATTCAAATGAAGAAACAAATAAGGTTGAAAACATGAGTTAAGGGACAGCATACACCCATAGTGTGGCATAGTCCCATCTTTCTTCCATCTTGTGTGTTCAAAATTGGAACATTTTTTGTAAACTAAGACGATTCTAAACATATATGGATACAAATTTGTTTGAACCAGATTATCACTCTGTTGTTTTAATGCTAAGCTGAATGGATGAAAAAATATGAGATTATGTCTGTGCATTTTCTTTATTTGAACCAGTTTATGTCTTTTTGTTTTAATGCTAAGCTATATGGACAAAAACGGTGAGTTTGTGTGTGTGTGTGTTTCTTTATTGCAGCCTCAGGAAGTAGAATATGTGAATTCTGAATATGGAAAGAACGCAGTGAGAATCCTGTACGTTAGACGGGAAGGCCAGGTACACTGCATTAAAGAACTGGCAATCTCTGTACACATCAGACTCAACACTGTGCGTGAATACTTGAATGCCGACAACTCCAGAGTCATCCCTACAGACACCATAAAGAATACAATTGAAGCCCTGGCCAAATGCAATGGGGTAGGTTGCAAAACCATTCATCTTATCTCGTAGCAAGAATTGGATTGCATTTCCTCTTTTTTTTGTCATTTATAGAATCTGTCTTCAGACAAAGCAATAAACAAAAAGATGTGGTGCTATGTAGGCAAAAGTTTCTAAATTAGATGTGGTAGCATTTTATGTTATCTTGCTTGAGTTTTCTAATAAAAACTCCAAAACATAGCTTGGTTGTCTAATCTGCAGTGCTTATGATTTTGTTATGCTTATTTTTAAAAAGGATCGTCAGTAATATTTGTATAACAAGGCAAAATTTTCAGGTTTTGAATCATTCAAAATTCAAAGAGTAGCAGGACATAGGTAGCAAATTAGGAGATGCTGCCTTTTTTATAATACAAAATCTATATAAAATTCAGATAAACAAAAAAGAATGAAATGAATTGATTTGGCAGAAGTCAAGATTTAAAGTAAGCAAAGGGCTTTAGTTCTATGAACTCAGGGTTCACTGCTCTTTAAAAAAAAATCCTGTATAAAATTTACTTTTATGTTTTTAAAAAAGTGCTAAGAATTTCAACAATAGCTTATAAGGGCCAGTGGGTGGTTCGTGGTTATAGTTCATATTTTGTGGATTTCATCATTTCCCATGAAAATAGCTTTGGGCTGTAGCCAGTATGATAAATTTTTTATTGAATTGAATTGAATTGAATTCTTTAATGTCATTGTATGTATATACACAGTATACATACAATGAAATTCACATAACACCCAGAGACCAGACCCAACACGCACACACACGACAATCCCCAAACACACCCCCACCTGCCAAAATTTCCCACCTCCTAAAAACACACAAGCATCCACACAACAGACCAAGTAATACTGTCCAACAGCTCACTGATGGCAGTCCTTAAGTTCATTGTTAAGTGCAACTATAGCTCTGGGATGAAAACTATTGGGAAAACATGTGGTCCAAGTTTTAATTGTTCTGTATCTTCTGCCGGTTCATAAAGATTGTAAGCAGGATGGGAAGAATCTCTGAGAATGTTGTGCAACTTTTTCAAACAGCAAGATTTGAAGATGTCATCAAGGGTTGGTAGCTGGAGCCCGATGATATTCTGGGCAGTTTTAATTATTCTTTGTAGAGCTTTTTTGTCCACTACAGAGCTGCTCCCATACCATACAAGAATGCCGTATGTCAGGACACTCTCAATAGTGCTGCAGGAGTAGGACAGAAGTAGATTTATCTTCCTGAACATACTCAGGAAGTACAGCCACTTCTGTGCCTTCTGCATGTTAGCATTCATAGTCCATGAGAGGTCCTCCGAGATGTGCCCAGAAATTTAAAACTACCAACCCTCTCCACCTCCTCACCATTTATGTACAATGGTAATCTTTCCCCTGAAGTCAATTATAAGTTCTTTAGTTTTTTTGGTGTTAAGTGTAAGATTATTTTCTTTACACCACAGTGTCAGCCCTTGTACTTCCTTTCTATAAGCAGATTCATTGTTCTTAATAATGCGCCCCACCACTGACTTATCATTTGCAAATTTAATAATTGTGTTGGTGTTATACAATGGGGTGCAGTCATGTGTTTACAAAGAAAATATAGGTATATATATATATTTCTTTTCTTAAGTTTTCACGGGTATTTATATATATGGTATTCAGCTTTGTTCGGGTATTTTCCCACGTCATTATAGTTGTGCTTTTAAAGTTGTAGCAACATTTTGGCAGAATCTGATGATGGCAGATGAGATTCTGCTGAAACGTTGCTACAACTTTAAAAGCACAACTATAATGACGTGTGAGTCAGACTTTTACAGTGGTTTCAGATTTAAATTTGGGGCAGCCTATTGCTGTGCCAGAATGGTTTTTTCTTCATCC